GGTTTCAACATGCCTATACAATTTTACTTCTAAACAAACAAAAAATTATATATAAACACGCTTTTGTTCAGATCTGTTCAAAAGAAATCATACCAAGGATGCATTTATTTGATCAAAAAGTAAAAAGCAATATTGTGAAATATTACTACAATTTAAAATACCTTGATACATTTTAAAATGTAATTTATTCCTGTGATGCCAAGCTGAATTTTCAGTGCTGACTTGCTGTTCAGAAACATACAGTTGTGATGCTTCTTATTTTTGTAGAAAGCATGATACATTTAAGTATGCTTTGATTAATATGTAGAAAGTTCAGAAGAACAGTATTTATTTGAAATAGAAATCTTTTGTAACAGGTCTTCACTGTCACTTTTGATTAATGAAATGTCTTTTCTGAATAGAATTAATGAATAAATTAATTAATAAAACACTTTAAACAGCATTAACTTCATATCCTGCTCCTACTCTTGTCAACCTCTTGACTGATAAAGATTTTTCAGACAAAGACTTAAACCTTTTGGGTATCAGACAAATTTGAAACTTTTTGAAGTGATCTGGTAATGAGACTGGATCCAATATTCCTGGCTTGTCGGAAGAAACTAGCATTTTTGTTATTGATACGATCCAACATCAGCAAAAGAACTCTGAAATTCCACAGGATCTTCCGGGAATACTGAATCATTTGTTAAGCTGCCTGAATTAAACAATTCACTAAAATTCAACTAGGTTAACTCTTTAAAGTTAACCGTTTTACATACAATTGGACTGAAAATGCAATATACTGTAACTACTGGTATTTCCAAGATAACTAGACTCCACTCACTAAATTAGACAATACTGTTGGAAACACTTACTGTGTAAAATTCAGTTTCACTTTATTTTTTACAGTATATTCTGTGCAGTTTTCAGCAAGTATTATATTTTGTTGTGAACATGGTCCGACTTGAGCATAGAGACTTGTCAGATCGATTTTATGACATGGAACCGATCCAAAAATATACAATATCAAGCATATAGTTCCTCAAGGTAACTTACCAAGATCTTTGTTCCTTTCCTGAAGAACTCTAAAAGTTGCTCTAGCAGTCTCCAGGTCTGTTTCCAAGACCTTTACTTTCCCCTCTGTGCTGATCTGAAGAAAGCTCAGTTCCTGTTCACAAATCCAAAATTACACTGAGCAACTTGAAGCTACACAAACTCTTCTCCATGTATAAAACGACTGAGATAACTGACCTTGTCTTTGGCATCGAGTTTATTTTTGGCCTCAATGAGCTCCATGGAAAGAGCATTGATCTTCTTCTTGGTGATATCTGCAGAGACCTGTGAAAATCAAAGTGCCAAGACATTCCTCAGTAAACTAGTTTATGTGAAGCCTTTTACTTAAGAAACAGAGACTGGAAAACACACTGCTACAAAAAGACTAGTCACCTTGGTCTTCAGGAACTCATTAGCTTTCTTTAACTCTGCGAGCTGCCTCTCGAGAGAAGCCACACTGGCAGCGAGGCCGGTCTTCTCTCTGACAGCCACAAGCAATTTAGACTCCAACTTCTTCAGCTCTTCCTCCAGGGTCAGCAGCCTGCGGTCCTGCTCTCCTCTCTGCTGCACCAAAGAACGGATCTATACTCCAGCATTAGCAGTGACAGTCAAGGTGAGGAGAAGAGACCATAGAAATCGATCAGGCCTCAAAGCAACAAATGGCCATCAAGGAAATGTTGAAAACATTTTGAAATCTACCTCTTTCTCTAGTAGTCTCTGATGTTTCCTCTGAAATGTGAAACCATTTTTGTCCTGTTTGGAACTTAATGCATCAGCCTATGTAAGGAAAAAACAACAAGAAAAGCAAATTGTAAAACAGCATGATTGGCCAATACACCAGACCGACAAATAGTAATACTGACAAATTGTCAATGAGTTTTAGACACTTTGATCATTCTGAAAAAGTGAAGAGCCTACGTGTTCACCCAAATTAACATTTTACATTTTATTAGATATTTGAAAGGTCTTAAAACACATGGCTATTAAATAAAACATCTAACACTTATGTTTTGTTGTTTTGAAATGGGTATGGGATAATGTAGGGGTTAGCCTTGGAAAAATAACCAACCAGTCCTGCGTTAACCTGCAATACTAGTCACATAATATAATTCTATAATAAAATTATATATTTAAGAAATTACCCCTATATTACCTTAAGATTCACTAAGTCCACCCCTTTACATTGTACAAAATAATTAGTCTAGCAGTAAGACAGACCCTGGAACAATATTTAACCAGTATAACAAGGAGTAATTTTAAAAAGGGAAAGTTCAGCCAAAAATGTTTTAATTTACTCAACCACATGTCGTATGGACCTATTTTCTTCTGTGGAACACAAAAGATGATATTTTGAGACATGTCTTAATATTTCTGTCTATAAAACGAATGTCAAGAGGGTGCATGATGCTCTAGACTTTCATTATAGGGACAAAAAGAGTTGAAACATTATTTAAAAAATTCTTTGTTTGTACAGGTTTGGCACAGCATGAAGTTTAAGTAAATGTTAGAATACGTCTTGGAAGGGAGAGCTGGTTATGTAGTCTTAAAGGGCCGCATTTCAGTTACTATTTCATATTTATTCTCGTCTGACAACAGAAACAGTAATATATATAAATGAAAACAGTTTTATTGAGAATTTGGCTGCATTAAAATACAGTATGTGAGCACAGAGAGACAAACAAATGTAAAAGGCAACATGCGCACTGATGTCATGAATATGCTAATTAGTGTATGACGTCATCTGTATAGTCTTTGGAGATACTTGAATGCTTTGATCTACAAAGAGTTTACATTATTACATGTGTCTCATGATGAGGATGATAGACAATGTTTTTATTGCATTAACAATAGTAATAACTATTTGAAATATTCATATATGCAATTAATCAATTTTCTTCATAATAGGAAAGTGTCTCATTTAACCACTGCAGCTAATTTTAGATTTAAAGTTTTTAAAAACACTTAGAATAAATTACTAACAGTATATTTGCTTGTGACTTTGAGTAAAAGCATCTGCATAAATGAATCATGTAAAATCAGACAAACACACAAGAAAGATTTGTTTACTTTTATTCAAAAAAACGTACTGTCTCCAGAGAGATACAAATCAGAAACATTACAGTGGATGGCAGAGGACAGGGAAACGGTTATGTATGAGTTTATATCTCTGAACAGGGAAGAGTGATAATATGTTTTTAAACGTTAACAGAAAAAAAGCACTAGAAAATTAAGCTTTACGTTTAAATGCATGTATATTTACACAATCTATTCAGCAGTTTAATTAATGTAGTGGTGAGGAACAGAAGACAGTTTAAGCCGAAGGGCATTTACTTTCATAAATGTCAAATCTGTCTGCACACCTTCTTTTAAATAATTACACTCATGCCATTTTAGAAATGCACTGTTCCTTTTCTGATGCAAAAACTTTTCAATGTACCTCAACATGGAAGATTTATGCTTGACTACCACCTTCTTTTCATTTTTAAAACAAGGATGTTTTAAGGCCAAGGCATGGAATGATTAAAAAGTATACCCCAGACAAAACGCATATGTCTGCAATATAAGTTAATGTATTAGTCAAGCTTCATAGAGCTGCCGAATGCAATGCTGTAACATTAAAGGATCTCACGGGATGTTACTGTTACACTTTGAATATTTCATATCGGGGAAAAACAAACTAGAGCTGAATGAAACAGTTCTGTCCATGATTTGCAACCAAACTAATTTACAATTAGGAAAAAGGTGAAACCTAAAAACCTCTTAAGACTGACCAAAAAAAAAAAAAGAAAAAAAAGATTCAAACAATACACACACAAAATAAAAATAAAATGACTTGCTGCATGGCTACGCACTTTCATGTTTAGACATGTTCTTATACATTTCAAAACCTTTTAACTCTAAGTTGGAGCTTTAAAAATAAGAGAGAGAAAAAAAAAAAAACTAAAGCACAATTATAAAATCAGCACCAATTTATATATTTATATAGAACTTTATTTAAATGTAGATGTCTACATAGCTCTAATCAGGGAGAAGAAAATCTCCACCAGACATACTACACTAGGTTTTGTATTATTAGAGACAACACAATGGCACTACTGGAGAGATTTCCTCTTCTTTGCTTGATCTTAGATTTTAGAGGGACAAGCGAGCAGATCTGATCTTTGGATAAGCCACGTGACTCAGCGGAAGAATTACAGTCCTTTCTGTGCATCTCCACGGACCGACTGGGATTCTACGCGCCTGATTTACTAGAGCAGTTGGCACATGACAACAGTTCTGTTGGTGCAAAGACAGCAACAGGGCCACTGAATGGTTGAGGTATTTAACATACACCAATCACTGATGGTGTCACTGAAATTGCACCAAAACATAAAAAATGCACCAAAGGCAGTAATAAATCGGGATGCTCAGAGTGTTTTGATTTAGGTTTCATGTTGTATGTCATGATTTTTAAGGGTGAAATAAAAGGTAACTAAATACTAGATATAAAGACCTGGAGGTTTTCCTCTTCAGCTATGATGCATTAAAAAGATCACAAGTTACAGTAAAGATTCCGTTTCAAACTGGATTATTTTTTATTTCAAATATAGTAGATGCTGAAAAGTTTGGTTTCCCAAAAAATATTTATGTTTTCAGTGTTTATAATAAATGTTTCTTGAGCAGCAAATCAGCATATTAAAACAATTTCTGTAGAATCTTGTGACACTGATGACTGGAGTAATGATGCTTTGCATCACACTAATAAAATACATTTTGAAATATATCAAAACAGAAAAGTTATTTTAAATTGCACAATATTACTGCTTTTACTGTATTTTTGACCAAATCTATGCAGACTTGATGACCATAACAGTCTTCTTTCAAAAACATTCAAAAACATACATGCCCCAAACTTTTGAACGGTAATATACTCTTTCATTTACACAAAAGTCTATTCCTAGAGACCAAAATCATAAAGACAAATGGCATTAGCATAAGCTTATTACCAGATCAATATCCATGGTGTCAAAGTCCATGCCTTCATTGAGATCCTCAATTCGGCCTTCTGATGACATCATCACATCTTCCACAATGGGCTCCTCATCATCCTCCATAAGGCCTGTTCCCCGACGACTGCAAGCATCGGAAGACCAATGGCACCATATTTGTAAAAAACTTGTTTTTGTGTGCGTTCAAACTGCATCTACCCACCGAACATGAAACGCAGTGTAAAGTTTCCTTACATAGCATGCTGAAGGTTACTCCTTAATTTGGCGTAGTTCATAGCTCTCTCCTGCTGCTGTCTGGCCACTTCCTCTTGCTGCTGTCTCTGTGCTAACATCCAAGTGACTTGTGTGCTGTAAAACAATAACATCACACCTCACTATATCCCTTCAGTCCCGGACTACACTAAGCAGCAGACATGCATGAACATTTCATGGCTGAAATTAGCTGTACAACATCTGAAAGTGCCACAAACACGAGAAACTCATTAAGATTGAGCATCAACGCTCTTACTTGTAGTCTATGGCTGTTTGGTGGTGTTGTGGCTGAGGAGTCTGAGGGTGTGCGTGCTGCTGTTGCTGATCGGGGGTCATGGTGTACACCCCCATGTAGCTCTCCTCAGGACGCAGGTGTTTGGGCTCTCTCATGACGGTGGAGGTGAGGTGGGGTGAAGGCATCATGACGGGCGTCTGCATGCTCTGCTCACGGCTCATCCATACTTCACTGCTGCTGCTGCTCTCCTCTGCACACAGACAGCAGGACAATCGCTAAAGTCGCGATAAAATGGAAATAGTGGCTGATCGTTTCTTCCATATTGTGATGTACATTTGAGTGTAATAGATTATAGAAAAAGAAAAAAGTAAGGCAAGGTTCTGTGCATAGGCTGTTGATTGGATTTTTCTTATGTGGCACCTACATTTGCAGGGGTGGGTTTAAAGCGATAGTTCACCCAAAAATAAAAATTCTATCAGGAAATTAGGAAGTTCCTGGTCCCCATTGATTTTGGGGAGTATTTTTGTTCATACTATCGAAGGCAATGGGGACCAGCAACGGTTACTAACAGTCTTTAAAATATCTTTGTGTTCAGCAGACAAAAGCAAGTCAGACATGTTTGAAACAACTTGAGGGGGAATAAATGACAGAATTTTCAATTTTGGGTGAACTATCCCTTTAAGAGGACTAAAGAGAAGTCCTCCATATGTCACCAGAGAGAAGCCCAACGCCGTCACTGGAACATCAAGTTATAAAACAAACATTATCGGGTAAAAAATATATATACACATAAATGACTTGTTCACAATAAGTTCTATAGCATGCATTTACAAAATAGATGAATTTTCATTCTATGCCGACAAAATGAATGAAAACTAACATGATTTATGTCCTTAAAAAATGTTTAGCGTTATAGTGCACAATCTATTAATTCAAGTTATTTGGTCACATTTAATACATTACTTGTCTGGTTTCTTGAATTCAAATTGTTTTACCTTCTGGTAATTTCCTCTTGCCAGTGGCAGGCTTAGCTTTTTTACTTCTGACGGAGGAGCCTCGGCTACTGATGCCACTGACCACAGACATTGTGTCATCATCACCCCCTGCCTGCAGTGAGTTCCTGTAAGAGATGAGCGGCAGCCAGCAGTCTTCTCTCTGCAGGGCCATCTGAAATGTCATGAAGCGCTCCAAATACATGTGCCTTTGGGAAAAGAGAGAAAGGACCAACATTAGATCCAACAGCTAATGAATGATCGTTACACAACTATAAATACACATACTGAGATCAATAAACGTTTGCTTACACAGTCCGTGTATGCGGCCAGCAGGTTTCGCCTCTTGTGCAAAGCTTCGATTTTTCCAGCTTCATCATCCTGCTGCCCATCTGTTCGAAAATAAAGGAAAACAGATATTTAAATACTGCTCATGCACTAGAAGCAAAACTGCCTCCCTCTAGTGGTCACTTTTTAAACCCTGCTTCTTGACAACAAATGAAGCAATCGCAAGTTGATTTGTCCAACATCTCTCCCTTTAAACTAGTCAGTCTACTTCAGCTAAAGCTCAGTGCACAACAGGATTAAGTGTTGCTAGAATCTCTAATCTCTAAACCAATTAAACGCTTCTAAAGCCAATTTCTTTTGTGTCCTCTTAGTGTTAGCATTCAAAATTAAACAGCCAGGGGCGCTAAATCCATTCAGCAAAGCCTGTTAGCTCTAACTGAAAGTCATTATGCCATTAGCTGTGATAGACCTGTGCTGTTGCTGTCTTCATCCTGGTCAATGAAGACGTGGTCCAGGATGAAATTGAGAAGCTCGGACTGCAGGGACGCCTCAGGTGTGTATACTAGGGGCTCGAGAGCTTCCCTCCCCCCTGAGATGATCTGATGGCTGAAGATCAGCAGCAGGTCACAGAGGATGGTGAAGGCCTGAGGGAGAACATACAGTCAGGTACAGGCTGTTTGTAGCATAATGACTCGTTGTGACCTTTGATACAGACCTGCTCTTTGACGGCGGTGTTGACGCTGGTTTAGAAACACTTCATAATAATCAGAGATGAGACGGGAAGCCTTACTTGTGGAAAGCTGTGATCCTCTTCAGTGTGGAAAGAACTTGATAAGCATCATCTTCATCTGGGTCTTCACCCTGTGGAGGAAACAGGTTATTATATAGACAACTGAAACTTTCCGAGCTTCTGATACATTGCGGCAGCATTCAGAAAGAAACAGTTGGAATTGAGTACTATGGATGCATTTTATTTACTACTTCCATAACTGACTAGTCAGAGTAGTCTACAGGCCTGTCTTAAGGTAGCTCTGAACAATAAGGACTTAAATATATCTACTAGTGAAGTAGTTAAGTTAGAGATAGTGGACTAGTCGGATTCATCCATACAGAGAAACCTCCAGAAAAACAGACACACAGTGTAACAGTGGAAGCATATACGTAGATACTCTTGCCAAACTGCTGTTCCTATGCAAACACAGAGCAACATCAAAGTGCTCCTGACGCTCCACCCTGAGCCGCCCGCTGTCCTCACCTCCTGCAGGAAGTCCTCCAGTAGCCTGTTAAATTTATCCACTTGCTCATCCAAGAGCTGGCTACGGGCGATATCCACTCGGTTAAAGATAGTGAACTCCTCGTTGCACAGGGCATGGTAGGTTTTAGAGCAAGCCTCGAGCACATCTGTGTCCGTGTGCTTCTCCACAATCTCTCTGATTTGTCTTAACAATGAATCCAGGTGCTATGAGAGAGAAAACCGGCTTTCATTTATATGCTGCACAATCAGCCTATTGTGAATAATCGGTGTTCATTCAGCGCATTTATTCTGTTTAAACGATATGCGGTTCAGACCTTTTCCAAACGCCCTGTGGTATAGATCTCCAGATCAAAAAACTGGGGCAGCTGCAGCAGATTTGTCACTTTCTCTGCATCCACAGAGTACTGCAAGAAAGAAAAATAAAACATATTTATCAGTTTCAATGCTCTGTAAATACCATTTCATGTTGCCTTTGATTTCAATAGGCTTTAACCTTTGCAAGTAAAGCTGGCAATGCTATAGCGAAGAGCTCCGTCATTCTCATCCGGTCATCAAGCTGCGTCTTCTTCTCCTTCGCTGTCAGAACCTGAAACAAGATCAAGTGAGAATTGAGAACAGCATGTAAGAGGTAACGTGTGAGAGCAGGGATCCGTCTTCAAGGTCTGGTCGATGCGTGTGGCATCAAGTCTTACCCTCTTGCCTGTGCCTCTGCCCACAGGAGGATGGCACTCTGCAGCCTGACGGATGGTACACAGCATGATCTCTATCAGAGCCGTCTCCTGTCTGTCCGTCAGAGCTGGAAAACACATACAAAGGTAATTTATCTCTCACTTCCTTTAGAGCAGGTAAAAGTCAACCCTGTATGTTCTGGTGCTGTGTCACTGGGTCAGACCTTCCTCTCCAGGCAATGGCTCATCCAGTAGTAGGCTGATCATGCACTCCCAGTCCTTCAGGATCTCTGCTGCACAGTCCCACATGCTGTCCACTAGGTAAGCTGCATGCTCGTGAAGCTGAGGATCAAAACATAACACCTTATAGCATCTTAGATTTATAATAAAAATTATCCTTCAATGCATTAGAATAATTTCTACTCATGTGACACTGAGTAATGGCTGCTGAAAATTTAGCTTTGCATCACAGGAATAAATTACGTCTCAAGATATATTCAAACAGAAAACTAAAAATAAAATTAGAATATAATTATATAAGATTCAAAATAGAAACTTTCATGACTACCATGCTTCAATATTGAATTGCATTTTCCCTAATTTATCTACAGTGGAAGAAAACTGAAACACCAAGGTGCACAATGTATGCAGAAGGCATTTGAGAAAACGGTTTGAAAATCAACATTTTTTGCAATTCTGTTTGGTGACATTAGTTGCACAGAAACTGCACCCTTCAACTTGCATCATACAAACAGCACTGCTTTGATTTACTGACACTTGATTCGCAATGATGTTGTTGATGTTAGCTCACCTCACTCTCCAGGAAGAAAAAGACAGTGGTTTTGATGAGGTTGGCATTCACACTTTGTCTGCCTCGTCTCTTGGGCATGCTGTCATCTTCAGGGTCTCGATGACTGAACAGTCTGCGAACAAAGATGAAAATGTAAAGCTATTCAGTTTACCTCAAACTATTGTTGTCTAATCACCATGTCTATTCATTCATGTCTCCACTCAGTCTAGATGCAGTGAATAGTTTTGTTTTATGACTTTCGGTAGGTTGAAGCTTCATGGGACATGAATGAGTGAGTGACTGTGAGTGAAACTCACTTCTTAAAGAGGAACTCTCCTGCTGCCACTGCGACGGGTCGGTGGGCTGAATACACTAGATGGTACACACTCTCACAGTCTTCTGCAGTCAGAACCTCATCACTGCTACTGTAATAACAAACAACAACAACATATGAGCATCCTGTCATGCTCATTATCACAGCTAGTACTACAGGTACACTTATTTCATTTGAAGTGAACAGTAAAGACTTGTAGTTTATCAAAGATTCAGTGAGATCATTTAACGAACAATCTGACTGAATCAAATATCTCATGGGTTCATTAATCTTTTTAAGTGACTCATTAAAATAGTGAATTATACTACTCTACCATTCCATAGTTTGGGTTGGGATGATTTTTTTTTTTTTAAGTATTTTATGCTCACAAAGTCTTCACTTATTTGATAAAAAATACAGTAAAGAAAAAAGTACTATGGAATATTACTACAAAACAAAACAAAAAACAAACAAACAAAAATACTACCACAATTTAAAATGGTTAAAATGTTTGTAAAATGTAATTTAATCCTGTGATGGCAAAGCTGAAATTTCAGTCTTCAGTGTCACATGATCCTTCTAATATGCATTGAAGTAGGGATGTCAACGGTTAATCGACGATCGATTAATTGTCGATAAGAGATGCAATCGATTAAAGCTATCATGGTCGATTAAGTCGTTTAATTTTGGGCTGCGTGGGGCTGTGAGTGACGGTGACGGTATATAAATGCATCATCATTCATTCATAATTACAAATTAAGCTTTTAATGTGATTTAAACTTTAAAAGTACATTAAAATAGAAACAACACAGTTCTTCAACATGGAATGCAATAGAAATGTAGTAACAGTCATTTCCCCAGATAATTGTTTCATATTTGAAACAATTAGGTGAAGGTTGCAGGGCTGCAGGACACTGCGGGGGAAGAATTCATTCCTACAACTTGTTAATTCGTTCCTACGACTTCTTAATTTGTGGCCACTAGGGATATGCCGGTATCACATTTTCCAATAATCGATTAATTGATCGTTAATTTAAACGACGATCGATCATGGAAATGATCGAAAATTGACATCCCTACATTGAAGTATACTAAAAATATTAATTATTCAAAAATGTATTTATTGATTAATGATCCTTCAGAAATCATTCTAATATGCTCTCCTACTCAAGGAATATTTCCTATTATTATCTATGTAAAAAACAACAACAAACAAACAGTTGTGCTGCTTAATATTTGCTTGAAAACTGATCAATTTTTTCAGTATTCTTTGATGAACAGAAAGTTCAGTATTTTTTAGTAAAGTTTAGTAACATTATAAATGTCTTTACTATCATTTTGATCAGTTTAATGTGTCCTTCCTTGCTGGAAAAAAAGTATTAATTTCTTTAAAAAACAAAAAACTTGATGTGTTGTCTTGACAATATTTTGTGGTACTCAATATTCTGTGGTCTTTCTAACTCATATTCAATTCAATTCACCAACATATAACTCAAATAAAATATAATAAATTTTGGTATGATGCAAGAAACTGCTATAGCAGTAAGTGTCTGTTTTATACATACTGTAACACCAGTGTGAGCAGTTTTATTGCTTGCACTGCAACGTCGTACTCCTTGTCCAGCGTCATGGACACAATGCGGTCCTGATGAAGACAAACAAACAATCCATTTTATTTTAAAATATTGAAAAGATACATAAAAATACACTAACCCATTCAATTAAACTCTTAATTTCACAGAGGAGTATTCTGATGACTAATTTCAGCGTTTGCTCCATTTTGGATGAGAAGCTTCCCCAGATGGTTCTCTCACCTTGAAGCGGCTTGTGAAGAGCTCCAGCCTGGCATTGAGCTCGCGGTTATAGTACAGCCCCTGCAGAGCCGTGAGACACTTCAGACGCACCTCACCTTGCTGAGAGGGAGAGAGGAAGAGAGTTACATTTCCTTCCAACTCCAGGATTGTGTCGTGACTAACTCCATCTGACACTATATTTAGGGATTAAAGAAATGGGAGAGAAAAATGATTGAATCCTCACCTTGTCGTGCATGGTCCAGCCCACGTACTTAAGATAGCTGTCGTTAAGAAATGCATCACTGTACATTTTCATCCACACGCCAATCTCCTCGATGCAGATCGCCCGGATCTCTGCTATTGCATCACTGAGGAGGAATAACAGAAGCACTTAAGCCCACAGACACCCACAGGGACATTTCAGAGTATTATTGAGTAATCACTGAAGTAGTAATTTGTGATGAGAGCTTGTGCTGGTAGAAAATCAACGTTTATGAGTGTGCATACCGATATCGGTGAACAAAGACACCCTTGAAAATGGCATTCATCATGTTTTCAATCTCATCTTGATTTTCTTGCAACTGTAAAGAAAACAACAGTTCATTATAATCATTGCTGTAGGCAGCACATGATGGTAAGCTGCATTACAAGAGTTTGTGTCTAAAAATCAAAAGTATTTCTTATATTTGAGATTCTGCTCACTTCTGCCTCTTGATTTCTTTTCTAGTTTCTATTTATTATCAGTTTCTATAATTTGCAATAACAGCTCTCTCTTTTTTCAGGTCAAGGGCTCACAAATATGTGATTCATTTAGTGGTTTCTATGCTTACTGTATGGCCATATGTGACCATAATCTGATCACAGTGCAACATGATAGCCATCTTTGGTGTGATCCTTTCAGAAATGGTGTCAACGTTTAGAACCTCAAACCCTCTTGCATTAATATAAAACAAAACAACAAAAGATCATAGGGATATTTCTTAATTCACCCCCTAATAAACATTTTTTAAGAACCAAGGTTCCCACAGAAAACCTGGACATGAGGTAGTCCAAGTTTTTGAAAGTGTTATTTTTAGACCTGGAAAAAAAATTGAATTGTAATTATTTTAATTTCAATTAGAAATCAAATAAAATGAATTAACTGCAATAATTATTAATGTTACTTTAGAACACTTTTTTACTTTTTATTTGGAGAGGTGTGTTATCATCTATGGGCACTCCTAATTGCTGTAAATTAAAAAAATGTTTCTCTCATTAAAGCTGATATACTGAAGAAACCTACTATCCTGCATAGGGAGGAGGTATTTGAATATTGCATTGTTGGAGTCAGACAGGTTTACAGCCAGTGTTGTAGGACACAATCTGCTACTATACAGAAACCAATTCATACCTCAGTTTGTAAAAACAAACAAAAACAGTTTTCGATCTACGGGGTGAGAGCTGTAGCTCCAATGATTTTCCTGCACGGATAAATCAAGAGCATGCCAGATGCGGTCATATTCCTCTAAGCTAACTATATTACAACTCAACTTCTGTGTGTGTCCACGTGGTTTAACTCAATACTATCAAGACATCAATAAAACCTCACACTCACACACGCAGATGGCATAACAGCAGGGCCTGTCATTACATAACCCAGTTAATTTACAGCGCCAGTTAAACACAGCTTTCGTACTCACAGCAATTCAGGCGAGCTCTAACCCCACGGGCACTGACAGTGTGAGAGCGCTGCGGTTGACCCGAGAGCCCACAATAACACAGACCTCTCATTAGAATAGGATCTTTTTTTAAATGACTTTATCCATGTTTACTCAGCTTTAAAGTAGGGGGAAATAGCACAGATGAAACGTGCTGAGTGTTTGGTTGGTCGTGCGTTTTTGTGGCTGTTGGCCAACAGAGGCGTAGGTGTTTGGAAGGAAAGCAGCAAACGCTGCAGTGACCTGGCAGAATCACGCAAAGGGAAGAGATTCTCCACAGGGAAGAGCGCAATGAATCCCCTGTTCCTCTGAAGGCTTCATTTATTCACTCTTCCCCTTTCAGCTTTCATGGTTGCTCTAAGACAATGCCAACATGCAGAATTTATTCAGACCTATGCCGCATCTCGGTCTCGGATAACACTCACCTCCTTGCGTTTCTGAAGCAGGAGCTCTAGTCTGTCGTTGGCCCTCTTGCCAATTATCTTGTTCCTCTCTGCTTCGTACTGCCGCTGAGTGTTGTCCATGTTAATGCTGAGGTTCAGAGCTACATTCACTAGGGCCGTCATCAGTTTCATAGCTATGGGGAAAAAAACATAACGCTTTATTTGGACTAATCAAAACAAAGTTCAGATTTACAAAGCAGAAGAGATACTGACCTGCCAGTGTGCTGGTGTGTCTGAAGGCTCGGACTTGAGAATCAGAGAGTCCGGTGAGCAGTGAGATGACCGTGTCCATCATGTACTCGTCATAGATGATGCTGTACTGACACTGCCGCACCAAAACGCCAATAAACTCGCAGAAACTAGACTTGAACTTCTTCCACTGTGGCCCGGCCATGGTGAGTGGGTAATCACCGCTGTCCTGCAATAACATCAACTCTCACTGGTTAGTGTGAGCATAAAATAATTCAAAAAACACTCTAGTAGGTGATGAAACATGTTCTCGAGGAATCATGTTCAACGTTGAAGCGTGAATTTACCTCATCAAACTCTTCTGTCATCTTCCTGATGATCTCAGAGTTTTGCATGTTGTGGAACATCTCACCAGTGACACCACCTGCAAAAATAACACTCAAAATAAGACTTAAAAAGTTTGGTATGTTTGAAAAAGTAATACCATTAAGAAACAAAACTGATGTGTTTATAATTAGCTCAGGACGTAAAAGTGTACCAAGTTTATGTTGCACCAGCCGATTCATTTATGTGTAACTTTTTTTTTTTTAAGATGAAAATGCACTGCTAAAAGAAAACTTTAGCCAGAAATGAAAATTCTGTCATTATTTATTTCTTTCATAGAACACAGAATTATTTAGCAGAAAGCAATTATTTTTTCCATATAATGAAACTTCAGGCCCAGTCACAACAAGAACGGTAACTATTATGACAACTATGATATCTACAATAACTATATTAGAATCCAAGACGATAAAATTGTTTAGTATAAGCGTGTGCTGCAGTTATGTAGTGTTCACTTCTACCATAACATTCAAACAAGCTTTTCAAGGCCAGATTTTTAAAGAGTAATGACCTGGGCTTACATTTTGGTCTGCTCCTCACACAAAGCCATCATATGGACTGAATATAACATGAGAACCACTTTTATCATGGTTTTAAGTCTTTTTGGAGCTTGATAACCCTAGTCCCCATTCACTTTCATTATATGGAAGGCAGCAGTGCAAACATTCTTCAGAATATCTTCTTTATTGTTCCACAAAAAAAAATAATGCAGACTGGAATGATATAGTTATGAATAAACAATGAAATACTTTTAATTTTAAACTATCCCTGTAACTATCATGATTATGTCTGTCATACAGCATTTATTCTCTACGAGCGCAAATCAGATCACATGAGAAATGACATTCAAACCTTTGCAGCCAGAGCACTGGATGAAGAAATTGATCAAGTCAAGAAGTGCGACGTCTCTGTCATGTTTATAGGACTCAATCCAGTCATCAACGACCGACTGCAAAAGAGGAGAGCAGAAATCTCACAAAGGTCAAAATCTGCTCGACTACACAGCGGTACATCAGTCTGCATATTCTCCTGCCAACACTCAAATCCTTCCAGAAGCCACAAACCCACATGAGGGAATTTAAGATGTGAATGCCAGAGCGAGACAGAGGGCAGTGTAAAAGGCGGTAATATGCTCACTGACCTGCATGGCACTCTTTCCCAGCCTGACCACTTCAAAAAGCATGACATTTTCCATGCCGTTTTCCTGGTGGTGACCGTTCATGCGTCCAGGCCCTTTCCCCGCTCCTTTCCCCTTCTCTCCAGGGCCCTTCTTTCCTTTCTTCGCCTGAAGCAGAGTGACAACACAGGTCAACACTGACGAACTGGATCAAACTCTCCACAAGTGAAAAATGGCTACATTCAGCGATTGTAGAACAGCCAAATATCATGTGCGAATCAGTAACAAAGAATTGTTACTGAATTAAATATTTACTTAAATAATATCGATCACAAGCAGCTTGTACAAAGATGATAAATAAAATTAATATATGTTAAAAATGTTTTATAAACACACTGTAATAAACCTTTTTCATCCAAAAATGAAAATTTGTCAACAAAGTACTCACCTTAGGCCATTCAATATATGGATAATAATTCATAATTCATTACATTTATATAGCCCTTTTCTATGGATTGGATGGATTTGTTTCTTCACTTGAACTGATTTGGAGAAATTTAGCATATTACTTGCTCAAAAACATGTTAAAAACATCTTGATGCATTAAATACAAAGTGTCACATGGATTACTGTGATGTTTTTATCAGCTGTTTGGACTCTCATTCTGACGGCACCCATTCACTGCAGAGGATCCATTGGTGAGCAAGTGATATAAAGCTAAATTTCTCCAATTATTTTCACATGAAGAAACAAACTCATCTACATCTGGGATGGCCTGAGGGTGAGTAAATTTTCAGCAAATTTTCATTTTTAAGCGAACTATTCCTTTAAGTCACAATCTTAAGTCACGAAAGGTTCACGAGCCCTGGCCAATTATTAACTCCATAACCATTTCCATGGAAAAGGGGTAAAGGGCCATTTAAAGGAACCTTGTGGAATCTTGTAAAGGCTTTCTGATAATCAAAAATGTCAGAGTCCACTCATACCTTCCCTTTCCCGACAAAGACATTCCTCCCATCAGGATCATCGAAATCAGTGTCTGATGAGAATCGGGTGTCAGTGTCCCTGTTCACACAAACAGATCAATGTTATCAGAGTGAAGGTGAACGTGTGAACGCATGCATACACACAATCTGTATTTATTACTCCTGTGTGTCTGTGCACTCACTGAGCGTAATGAAACTCTGTTTGTAATTCCGGTGCAGCTATCATTTCTTTAACATCTTCTGGTCCACTTCAACTTATCAAGGGCTTTGTCTTCATACACGCAGGGCAATAGCGTGTACTTTTGTCTCATAAACCTAAAAACATACACAAACAAAATGGGGAGAAATAAAATAACATTAAAAATCACGCACATCAGTAATCTATGAATTCTTGCTTAATATTATAAATCAACTTTGGCTGTTTTTATATATTCATATGCGTCAGCTGGCTGTTGCATCGCATCTCAGTTTTTTCATGTTCTCAAGCTACGAGAGGTGCATTTAAATACAGTCTGAATGTCACAGTGTACAGTGTTGACACAAACTCCTGTATGAAAAAAATGGTTTGCAAGGTCTCATCAAAGGTTAAGTGGCAACCAAATCATAAAATTAAAAACCGTTTGTATAGGCCTAGTTGTTACAGAATTCGAATGGTCAAGCCATGGATTATTGTTTATTCCAAAAATTATACAACTAACACAATTATAAATGTTTCAGTGCAGCAGTACATGTGGGCTATTAAAATCAAAATGCCTCCAAAACACATGCTTTACTATGCCTACAACTTCAATCAGTCTGTCATTATGGTTAGGCAGAGCAAATGCAGTTATATTGTAGCCACAGGGGGGCAGTATGGCTCCATATCAGCGCTCCTGAGCTGATCACTCAGAGACAGAGACTCTTTCAGTCAGTGAGAAGGAACTCCAGTGAAAGCTGAAGGCGCCTGCACCTACTTCTTTCTAGTAATTCATAGCTTTCAGTCACATGACCGGCTCGAAGACTTGGAGGGCAAAACATTCATAGAACTGCAGCACAAGCTTGTCAATTTTCCATCTGTTTCTCAGCCGCAAATATTTAGATCACCTCTCAAAAGAATAAAACAAATGTATGTGAGCAAATGCAAGTTTTGGCCATTTGCAATCCATATTAAGCACCCGCCGTAATATTTCAATCATTAAACAGTGCGACAAAACGTTGTAAAAACACTTAAAGTGCCTTAATATATTTAAAACAGTAATATTAAAAGATC